CCCATGGAGGTTACCTAATGGCTCTCAGAGAGGCTAGATTTCTGGATAGCTAAATTTAAGTTCAAGATAAGTTTTAACTCTTGAAACTGCACAAGATATTTTTAATGCATGGAAATTGAGGGAAAAAAAACAAACCAAAATCACTCTATACAATAACTACAATAATTAATCTTCCCCAATTGCTTCAACAGTAAGGATTAGCATTCCCAGTTGGCCAGTGGGGGACAGAGTGACAGAGAATAAATAGTTTTTCGGTGTCTCACAGCAAAGGAGGGACCAAGGTTGGATCCAGACCAAAGGCTATGGCAGCCAGTAGTGAAAATAAACATGAACGGATGAAGAAAACGAAGTAACCATACCTCAGCATAGAGCTAATGATCTCACAGGCTAAGTACCTGACCCGGAAGATCATCTAGAAAATAATAATGTTTTTGAAGGGAGAGAAGAAATGCTTTATATCTTTTTGGAGGATGAGAAGAAAAATGGTTGTTAAAATTTAATACGACTAATATAATGCTCATATTTTCTCCCACTGTAATGGAAAAGTACTAATTTACAATTTAAGCTTCATATCCAATATGTTAAAGGAAGGAAATACAAATTCCCAAATTGAATTTAAGGAAAGAGCATACCTTCTGCTTCCTTTTTCTGTATCATAAACAGAAAATGTGCGTGGTGGTACTTCCCTGTTTGCTGTAATTGATATTTGTAAGCTTTAGCACTCTAGAATAAACGTGCATTTCCACATGTGATAAACATACACTTCCTCACTTGATCCTTTGTTTTTCTGGGTACATTTAAGAGACTCTGAAAACTATGAGGTCAGGAAAGCACAATGTCAATACAACCCATGCCATTAGAGCTAGATCTGATGAACTGGGGACAATTTCCAATTCTGTTATTAGCTTACCATTTGCCACAAGTAGTTTTAGCAAAGAAATGAAGTTTGAGGTATGCATCTCATTGTCCCAACCTGATCCATAATGCTGTCTCTGTTTCAAAATTCAGACAGTCATTCAGACCTGAATCTTCCTCGAGCTCAGGGAGTTTCATCCTCAGAAATCACCCAGTTGTATTACAGGATCCTGGAAACTGTCCAGGAGATGATCCCCCAGCTCCTCACGCTCAGTCCATTAGCTTCCTCTGGCAACAGCTGTTGTCCCTCTGAGCTCTGTCCTCCACTAAGCTTCTCTGCTGAGGGACCCATGGGGCCAAGACCTCTCTTGCTGTCATGCCAATTGGATCCTTCTTAACCCAGATGCCCAGGTCAGGAAATCTTCCTGATAATGGTCTCCAGCAGGACATAGGCTGCACACTGGTCTTGGGATGGCCCAAACCTTTTGTTTCTCCTCCCTAAATGGCTTCTTGTTGTTAGGCAGTTAAGTCAAACAGCTGATAAGGTGCAGAGAAGATAGAAAGTTAATTCAACAGAACTGGTAAACTCCAAACTGGTAAAATCCAAACCTCCAAGTGTTTGAAGAGGTAGGATGCCTGCATTAGTAACCAGTGCTTGAGACACAGAAATTTTAATAGCTTCAAAGCAAAGCCAAAAAGAACAGTATGCTCTGGACTAAAAATTTACTTTTAAAATTGACAACTATAAAAAGTTCAGAGGACGTGAATACCTAATAAATCACAATGTTCTCTCTCTCCCCCTTTCCCTTCTCTTCCTCTTTTTGTTTTTGTCCAAGGTTATGGCAATACCTACCCTGTGACACGGATTGGAAAATATCTCTGTATGTTGTATGCTTTATTTGGCATCCCTCTGATGTTCTTGGTCCTGACAGACATGGGAGACATCCTTGCGACTGTCTTGTCCAAGTGTTACAATGAATTCAGAAAACTACAGTCAAAAATTCTAGCCTCTAAATTCTGTTCTGGATCCACATGTAACAAAGGGGATGAACTGAAATCCAGAGGGCAGTCTAAAGTAGTCGTCAATGAGCCCATGACTATTATGGAAGTACTGAAAAGTCAGGCAGGTGTTAAAAAGAAGCCAACCAAATATCGAAATGTCGAAATTTTTGAAATGTTAATTGCCAGAGAAAATGAACACACAAAACCAGCAAGAAATAAAAGCATTGAGAGATGGAGTTCATGCCCTGAACTTACCAGGGCAAAGACAGTGTCCAGAGTAATTGAGAATTTTGACAAAATCGGGAAACAGTTAGAAAAATTAGATGTGCCCATTGTATTAATGGTGCTAGTTATCTTTGTGTACATCTCCTGTGCAGCTGCTATTCTTCCAAACTGGGAAACCAGGTTGGATTTTCAGGAAGCCTTTTATTTCTGCTTTATCACCTTGACAACTATTGGATTTGGAGATACACAACTGGAACATCCCAAGTTTTTCTTGTTTTTTTCTCTCTATATTATTATTGGCATGGAAATTGTCTTCATTGCTTTCAAGCTGGGCCAAGACCGCTTAATTGGTTTGTATAAAAAGGTGATTTCGTTTTGTGGGGAGAAAAAGATGCCATCAAAGAAGGTATATCCAAAATAAGAGCAGTCATTTCTCCTTCAATTGTAAGCATTGGCCACTGCAATGAGATGAAACTGTTCCTGTACATTTCTGCCTTTGGCTGGCAGGAGGCATATTTTATTCTGATTTCCTCTGAGAATCTACTGTAAAATGGCTGAATACCTCAGGAGACACTTGAGGAAGGCATCTCCAGGGAGTACTTTCCAACAGGGTCCCATCTCCTAAATAACAAAAGAAGATGATGCATGATGAAGAAGCAGAAGGCTCTCCCTGCCTGTGCTCCCCAGAATCTTTTGTAAAGCTTTGTCTTTCATCAGCCTTTCTATCCTATTTCCCACAGCAAACCAATTTAGGATTTTTGATTTCAGCACTTGTCCAAGCAAGGCTCAGATCACTGCCTCGTCCTGCCACCTAGCCTGCAGCCAGGGACAGCTTGGTTGTGGCTGTCAGTACTGAACTGTGATAGTAATATGATTCATCATCAGAGAGAGCTGAGGAGAAGTATGAACCCAGCTGCTCTTCCATCATGACTGCATGTATTGCAAACATCACAGCTTTGTGCATGCGAGACTCTTTTTAAAATGAAAGGAAAGACACCAAATTTTCACATCTTTCTATGTCCCTAGTCTAGAAATAAGTCAGAAAATTCTTCATCTGTTCAGGGCTGAAACCACTCCTTTTCCATCATGATTTACCATATCTGTACTCAGCCCAGAGTCAAGACGTGTCTCATGGTGTCCAGATATAGACAAGTTCTACTTTTGCGATGGCTCCTGGGGAAAGGCACACAGGAAACCTGAAGGTGACTACAGCTGTGGAACAAAGCTCCATCTCTTCACTGTTAAAGAAGCATGATGGTCTGGGGACACAAATCCCACGAGTCCTCACTCCTAATCCAGGTTTTACCCTGCACAGACTGATTGAATTCTGGGAGTTCCTTGATTTCCCTGGGATGTGATGAGGATCCTGTACTTATATACTTGTGGAGCACATGAATGTATGAATAATGCTGTTTCTTCAAGTTTTTTCTTATATTATTCATAATCTGAATCTAGCTATCAATGACACAATGTTTTTTGTCAAAAAACCTCCCCACACTCTATAAAAGAAACCACTGACTTTAATTAACCGCCTCTTAACTTGTAAATCATCCGCACGCCTACTGAATATGAATGATATCTCTGGATATTAAAGCATGCTTGATTATGACAGAATGTACATTATTCTCCATGGTAAATTTGCCATTTGAAGCTGAGATTTTTAGCGTATTTACCTGGCATCTTATCTCTGTTACACTCCATGTACATGGTAATACGCATTCAGTCCTTAATAATTAGTTGCAATTAAGCACTGATGATATGCAAAATAGATAATGAATGATGATATATAGAAAAGTGCTTTATAAGAATAACAATAAAGAATACAGCAACTGGAATGAACTCTGGTTAACTTTTTCATGCTTGCCATAACTTTGGCTTCACATACAAAGATCCTCCATTCAGACTACTCTCATATGACTTTATTTTATGTCTTTGGATTAAAATCAGTGTAGAACTTTGGGCCTGTGCCAAACTTCTTAGAAATCAATGAAAAGAGTCGGATGATTTAATGGGCTTTGGATCAGAGAACTGTACTTCCTGCTCCTCAGGGTTTTCCCTTGTGATAGGCCTAACACTGCCAGCATTAGTAAGAACTGGTCTTTATATAATTTGACTATTTTCTCCCATATCAGAGAGATCTCATTTATGCAGAGGGATCAATCCTGAATTCATCCCCTATAGATTTCTCATTGACGTGGTGTCTTGATAACTTCACATTTACTTTACGGACTTAGTCAGGGAATTTTGGCTAGACTTGCAGTAAGGATTCTGCACCAAATCATTCTAGTTACGGCCAAGGGATGGCAGTAAACAGCTTTCCTTCATATAGAACCCGTCAGTTACAGGGGATAAAAATGTGTTTTATAGAAGGAGAGAGAACAAATCACATCATCATGACCCTCTATAAAATGACAGTGCACCTGACTCTTAAATACATGCACAGCTCTGGTCCTTCACCTCCCAAAGGATATGTAAAATTGGAAAAAAAATTATAGGCTAAGGAAAAGGATGAACAAAGATAGGGAACAACTTCCATATGAGACACATAGAGTAGCTCTCTAGTCTGGAAAGAGGTGAGAGTCTAAAGGAGAGATGTGAAACATTATGGGGGCATGGAGGAGGGAAATAGGGAATGATGGAATGATTGTTAAATGTCTTTCATTATGAGAGTTAGGGCTGCCAAACGAAACTAACACATGGCAGGTTTAAGAAAAGAAACAAAAAGGAGAGAAAATGGTACTTCACACAACATATAATTAAACTGTAGATACACCTTGGCATGGGTGGATGTGGTGATTAAAAGTTCACGTTAGATCAATGGGAGATGGGACAAAATCACAAAAGAAAAACTTGAAAAACATTAAACACAAAAATAGCACTTATGGTTCAATAGTCACTGAGTCCCGCATTGGCAGATGAGGAGGAAGTATCTCTGCAGACTTTCCTCTTCTTTGCAACCTGATATCTTTCAGAGACAGAATACTGGTCTGTACGGTCTTGTTCTGACCTGATTTCAGTGCCTGTAGTGCATGGAAACAGATTGTTAAACAGCTAACAAAATATTCAGTAACTCTGATTTCTGAAGAGATATTTAGCTTCACATTTGTGTCCAAGGTAGATAAATGAGCACACTCTGATTCTGAAAAACATATCACAAAAAAAAAAAAAAACAAAACCAGATTTAAGCAACCCAACCAGCCTGCAGCAAAGATAACAGTCATTTATATTTTGTGGTGGACCTAAAGGAGGGTGAGAGCTGGACACACCCAAGTATCAGAGATAAAAAGGTATTTATGTTTTCTTAGGTGCACTGAAATATTGCTCCCACAGAACCTGGAATATATGGCCCTAATTTTCTTACTATCAAAGTTGGAAAACAATTTCCCAGACGACAGAGAAATAGGCAGCAGCCTTGAGCTGACAGTGATAGCAGCGGCTCAGTCCGCGGAGCAGGATCTGAATGTAGCTCAGTAAATACAGCCACAGAGTTAATGAAAATGAAACAAAGCAATGAGCAGCACTCATTTAGTGAGCTCAGGCATAAATATTTATGAGTTGACTGCTCTTATCGTGGTCTAAACCCTAGAAGAATTCACAGTCTGTGCCCCCAGGAGTTTTTATTCAACAAAATTGACATGGAAATCAGCTTTGTTTGCATCAAAGCAGTACAAAATACTGCTTTTCATAACTTTTTCTGTCACATGCTGCATGAGATGGTGGATTAGCCGTGAAGGGCTTCGTGGAAGAACTCTTCTATCAGGAAAGACGTGACTGATGGGGAAAGA